ACTGCTCTCGCCGGAGATAACCTCGAACTCCCCACTGCTCTCGCCGGTTCTCTCCTCCTCTCTGCTCTTCGTCCCGCTTGAACCGGTGTTCATCCTCTTCGCCTCTTCGTCTCGCTTGAGCAGGTAATAAGACTTCCCTTTCCAATCTATATGGTTGGTGGTTGTAGCTTGAATCGTTTTCGGGGCACTAATAATGAGTCTCGGTGCAAAAATCTTCTTAGACAGCCAACTGAATCTAGGATGATACTTGAGAAATTGAAGCAGGATCAGAGTTGTCATATTTGAGAGTAACTAAAATAATTGATGTTTTCTTCAGAGGCTTGACCTAGATAAAGAATTACCCTGAATCAGAAACTCACAGGCTCTGGTTGAAGCAGCTGTACTATTGCCTGATATGGAACAGTAATCTGTTAATACCAGATAATTCTTACAACCGATCATCCAATAATATAGGATCTGACTAGAAATATCAATTGTTACCCTCCTACCATCAATCATCAAGAGTATATGTTTAACAAATGAAAGAGATTTGGTGATTAAAAAAAAAATGTAAATCCAAATCCTACAAACCAAACAGAGGAATGGATTTCAAATCAAATCCAAATCCTACAAACCAAACAGAGGAATGGATTTCAAATCAAATCCAAATCTTGCAAACCAAACACAGGAATGGATTTTAAATCCAATCCAATCCAAATCCCATGAAATCCAAATCCCTTCAGGAATCCAAATCCCTCAAAAACATTCCTGCAAACCAAACGCACCCTTAGTTATTGTAAATATAAAGTTTAAGTGATTAATCAATATAAATTAGAACAAAGAGTATGGTATTACATGTGATTGATTATAGTAAAAGGATTTTTCTCACATTTTCGTATAATGAAGGTTTTCTCGTATGAACCATTCCCTATATAAGGTTTCGTTAGGAACTGTGGGACATGTGACATGTATTCAAAGAATATGGATGTGTTATTCATCATGAATATGTAATTCATGATGAATAACAAGTTCATATTTATCGTGAATGTGCTACTCATGATGAACATTCATCCTCAAGAGAGACATATGGTGTACCATGGGTGATTTCTGGATTCTTAGCGTAACTTCTCTTACCGAATTACACTAAAATTTCACAACAAAATAATGTAAGGGTACAAAAATACCGAAACTTTACAACAAAAATACTGTGAAAGTTCAGTGTTATTTATGTGGTCTCATAAATCACACGAGAATAAGTTGGTCTCACATAATCCCAAGTGTGTGTGTGTGTGTATATACAATTTTAAATCAAATTACCAAAAAATTAGTTTTCTAATTTATCCATCAATTTGTGGTTGAGATTGGATCTCACAATTATCACAAACTAATCAGTTCTCCTTTGAATGCACCCCTATATATATATATATATATATATATATATATATATATATATATAGGGTCAAGATTAAATGTTAACCAAAGTTTTTGTGTTAATTTTGAAAACCATGTCAACCAATCACAATTCATTCTTCTATTAGGTTTCTATCATGTTCACAATTTAATGTCAAGGGTAAGTGGGTAATTTCATTTGCTATGTAACTCTCATACCATTAATGGGAAGTTACAAAATCATAAAATTCCTAAAAATATGCATTTATAATATTGATATTTTTATTTTTTTTAATCTTCATCTTCCATTTTTATTGTTTTATGAGTTTTTGATTCATGGAGGAAACACGATAGTAAAAATCTTTGGTATCGTTCAAGCTATTATGGATAAACGCATTGGAAAAGAAATCGACAACATTGAGAAGATTAAAATGGTTTATGGTGACAATCGGAGTTCGAGTTCGGGAAGTGAAGAAATTAACCAAAGTGAATGTCTTGGTAATGGATTAATATTTTATTAGACTCGTTTTAATAGAAATTATGTTCAGATATGTTATGTTTTTTGTAGTTCATATTGTGTTGATAACTTTTTTCTTTAATTACTAATACGTAATTCACATGTTCAAATGAAAGTATATGCGCGACCCATTTTCATATTGTCATATTACCGATTTTTATAAATCATGAACCATTGTGTTCATGTTACTTCTATCATATGAACACAAGTGTTATTTTTTAAGCTTGATACCAAATCTTTATATTTGTGTAAGTGTTTGCACCCAGTGTTCATAGTGTCGAGGTCATGTGTTTGTATATTTTATACGATATGAGCAAGGGGTGAACAACCACATAAGACCATAAACATATATGAACAAGGGGTGAACCTTAAACGGTGTGGATGCAATGCATGTATAAAGCTCCAATTGACAAAGGATCGCTCCTGAATGTGTTCATAATGAAGGAACTACTGTTCACAAGCTGTTCATATTGTGTTCATACCTATTTTTTTTATTTATTTTCTTTCATATAACAGTTATTCTTATTATGTTCATATTGTGTTCATAAATGTTATGCAGTCCAAGTTCATATATATGCCAATTTTTTGTTCGTATTTGACACAATGGTTCATATATATATATATATATATATATATATATATATATATATATATATATATAT